TTAGCCACCAACCGAGAGCCAAGACAGCCAGCCAGCACCACCGAAGTGCGCAGAGCCCAAGCCACACAACACACCCCCACGTCTCCCACGTGTGTGTCTCGAGCTGTGGCGAAGCGTAGACGCAAAAATTTGACGTCAACGTATTTTTGACGTCGACGCGCCGATGACGTCGACACATCGCTACAGGCCTACTCTTACCTGTAGTGCTATATATCCATCTAGATAGTTTTGGTGTGAGTTACTGAGTTTTGGAGATATCGGCCGTAAAGACGTCTCACTTCTCCCCCAATATAACGGAACCAGATGGCACACAGCAATCTTTTCGGCGTCATAAAGAACCTATGACACTTCATCATGAACCCTGCATCATTAAGAGGTCAGTACTAGTCAGTCAGTCAGTACTAGACTTATTGGTAATTATATTCGTGAGCAAGTGCTGTTGTGTAAAAACTCCTGAAAAATGTGATTAATGGTGATTAATGGTATCCTCTTTGACTGAACCTGAGCTACAACGTTAGCTAGCTCAAAAATGCTTGTTTACTGTAAGTCGCAAAATGTATGTAATGTAATTTAAAAATAAAAATTTTAGAGGGAGCAGCAGAGAGCAAATTAGAGCCTTAGCTAAGTCAGAACTCTTTGTTGGTGTAGTTAAGAACAAAACACAGAGCGATTGTTGCCAATTCCCTCCAAAATTGCAGATTTTTTCAGTTTTCTCAAAAGAGTAAGCCTTGTCCACCTGTTACAGCTGTAAAACGTTCTGGCGTTACTGCTATCATAAAGCTGTTCCCGGTGGAATTTTATTGTCGTAGTAGTTAACTTCTTTACCATAGTTTTTTTTGTACACAGGCTTCTACCTTGGACTTTTTTTTTTTTTATCAAAGAGCCAGATATTTTCTGATGCAGCTGTTCATCTTTCTCAGGAGAGTTTCATGCCTGTGTGAGGCCTGTGGGAAAAATGAACAGGAATTTCACTTTCAGAACCAGGGCACCCAAAAGAGCAAAAAAGAGAGATGGATAAGGTTTAGGATACTGTAACCTATGACATAGGGTTGGGGGATTGGATGAATACATCGGCTATCATTTTATTTCGCTAATTTAATGATCTGTTATTGCATGAATAGAGAATTGATGCTTAAAAAGAATCAGTCCCTTTGACAATCATAGTTATGCAGTAACATCATTCATCTTCATTGTGAGTATGAACTTGGATTGCTTTTCGCGTTCATTCTTTGTCTGCTAGGTGCTGTAACACATTAGTATCCACAGTTTGTTTATTCATATTAGTCCTGACATTTGAGGCCAGTCGGTGGCAGCAGGATTATCAGATGACGGATGCTGAGATGGTGGAAATGTCACAGTTGCTTCTCTCCACTGCTGCGGTTCCTTATCTGGAGAGGATGTTTTAGTGCATCTGTTTTTCCACACACGATAGCTCTAAGATATTCTCTTGCCTACCAGACTACTCCTTCCAACGTTTGATGAAAACGGGAGAGGCTTTTTCTCTTTCTTGAGCAAATTAAAGAAACGAAGAGATGGGGCTGCGCTTACTATATTTTGTGTTTGTGTAACACAATCTGGAGTCATTCATTTTAGCATTAATTTCATGTACAAAGCTCTTTTGGTTTATTGGGTGAAAATTAGGAATCACTGAATGATAAAAGTGTGTGGATGCAGAGTCGTAGCTAATTACAGAAAGCCGCAGAGACTACAGGGTGCTGTGCTCTTTTGTACAACTAACAGTGGAGGCACAAGCTGCTTGTTTGTGGAAAATCCATTCCCACGTCTATCTTTGACTTGATACAGTAAATATCAGCATTATCTAATGGGGCTGTGCAGGAGCTCTGATAAGGTTTGGGTATAGACTGGATGCTGAAACAATTCCAGGAACTGGGGACGTTTACCTCAGTTTTCCTTTTGGGGCTGAAATACTGAGTGTAGTGGAGTGCTGTTCATAAAGGATCCATCAACAACTCCAAAACACAGTGATGACCGTCATCTCCACTCAGTATGTTTCCTAAAAGGTTTCAGGGTTGGAGCTTTGAATGATACACACACATCAGTGATACACACAAGTGTGTATCACTGATTTTGTTTTCAAGTCAGTTTAGTTTCAGTTAGTTAATTTGAGTTGTATTTGTTTGAAAGTGTGTAGTTTTATTAGAGCTTTTATTAGTTTCATAATTAGTCTTAGTTTATATATAAATATGGGGATATTTGTCAGAATAGGCATTACAGTACAAACATTAACTCAGTCATGTAGACATTCCAGGCTCAATAAACATTTACATCAATGCCTTCTCATGCTTGTTGTGTTGACAGATTTGACCAAATTGATAAAGATTAAAATTAGAGAAATCTTGGGTATGTTTTTATTTTATTTTGTTAGTAGACGATATTGTTTATTTCAATTAACTTCGCACCTTGTTTTTGACTATAATAACCCCCTAGAATGCAGGGTTTTTATATCATATGTTAAAATTGTCCAACCGGCTGCTGTCAGCCCAATTGCCCAGCCCTAGTATCTAACAAATTGCTTTATTTCTAAATACTGAAATCTAAA